CCCAAACACGGGGCTCCCGTCACCCCCCGTGCCCCGCCGTACCGGTGACGCAGCCATTGACGGCCGTCGGCTTCTGCGCCGTCACCACGTAGTTGTAGGACATGCTGGGGGAACCGGGAGGTCCCGGGGGAGCGCGGGAGAAACCGGGGGGAACGGAGAGCGCGGCCTCTCTGCCGCCGTCGCCGCCCCTTCCGGGAAGTGGGTGCGCTGGGCCGCTCTAGCCCGCTGGGAGGACCTGGGAGGAGCAGACGAGAGGAGCCGCTCTAGCCGGCTGGGAGGAGCGCAAGGAGCAGACGAGAGGAGCCGCTCTAGCCCGCTGGGAGGAGCGCGAGGAGCAGCCGATAAGGGCAGTTGGAGGACTCCGCCGAGCGCAGGTGTGGAGGGGGATGCGCCGGGGGTCTCCCCCTGAAGCCGCGGGACCCACGCTGATCCCACCCCGATCCCACGCCGTATCCCGAAGGAAGGGCCCCGCATGGGAGAGTGCAGCCCCCTCCCTGCAGCTCTGTGCCCCCCGAAACTTGGGGTAGGGGTCCCCGCTGTGAAGGGGGAGCGTGGATCCGTCAAGGGCCTACACTGAGGAGATCCCTGAACGTGGGAGTGCCCCCAACACAAAAAAAAAAGGGGGTCCCTATTTGGGGGTAGTCCCATCCTGATTTCTCACCTCAAAAGGGGGTCCTCTTGGAGGGGGGAGCCGTCACTGTCGTCTCTCATCCCAAAATAGGCGGCCTGTTTAGAGGTTATCCCATCCAGGCGCCTCATTCCAACAGGGCGGCCTGGCTGGGTGCGGAGGGAGTGGTCACATCTTGGCGCCAAATCCCAGAAGGAGCTCCCTGCCTGCGGAGGTGTGCCTGTTTGGGGACAGCTGCAGCGCCAGCCCCATTCCCACCGGACACTCCCCATAGCATCACCATCACACCAGACACCATCCCATCCCGCCCCCTTCCCAGCCCCCCTCCGGACCGCCGTCCATTTCAGACTGGACCTTGCCCTCTTTCCAGACAGATTCCATCTTCGGATCCGAGTGCGGCGCTCCGCTCCCATGGAGGTGAGCCCGGAGCAGGGGGGTTGGCATTCCTGTGGGGTTGGAATTCCTCCTTTTCCCATCCCATCACTCCCCATTTTCCCCACAGGTCCCCAAAAAACTGGTGACAACGGTGTCCGGCTGTGCCGATGACGCACTGGCCGGGCTGGTGGCCTGCAATTCCGGGCTCCGGCTGCTCCAGGGACACCGGGTGGTCCTTCGGAATGACCTGCAGGCCATCCGTGGCCGTGTGGCCCTGCTGTCCGGGGGGGGCTCCGGCCACGAGCCCGCCCATGCAGGTGAGACCCCCCTGTCCCACCTGTACCCCCCACCCACGGACACGGTTCCGAGCCCTCTTCCCTCTCCGCAGGCTACGTGGGGAAGGGAATGCTGACCGGAGTGGTGGCCGGAGCCATGTTTGCATCCCCGTCCGTGGGCAGTATCCTGGCGGCCATCCGGGCCGTGGCACAGGCTGGAGCAGGTTGGGAACACACCGGGGTGGAATTTTGGGGTTCCTCCCTCCAGTGCTGCATCATTCCCATTGTCTCTACATCCATCCTGCAGCCGGGATCCTCCTGATTGTGATGAACTACACCGGGGACCGGCTGAATTTCGGGATGGCGCTGGAGCGGGCGCGGGCTGAGGGGGCCGACGTGCGGATGGTGGTGGTGGGCGACGACTGCGCCTTCACCAAGCCAGGGAAAGCCGGGCGCCGCGGGATCTGTGGCACCATCCTCATCCACAAGGTTCTGCTGGGACCCTTTATGGGGATTTGGGGAATTCTGGGGGGTCGCTCACCCGCTCTGCCCGGGACAGGTGGCGGGAGCTCTGGCCGAGGCGGGAGCGAGCTTGGATGAGATCGAGAAGAAGGCGAAGGCGGCTGCCAAAGTCACGGGTGCGTTGTGTTATCCCATGGAAATGCTGTCCTGTGACCCCCAGCCCCTGATTCCCAAAAATGCCCCCAGTTTTAACAGAACATTCCCACCTGCACAGGTACCCTGGGTCTCAGCCTATCTCCCTGCAGCATCCCAGGATCCAAGCCCTCGTTCCAGCTGGCTGAGGATGAGATGGAGCTGGGGCTGGGTGAGGAGCGGCCCCTTGGTGTCCCTCTTGGGTCCCTGGAGGGTCTGAGTGTCCCTGCCCCCCCGGGGAGGCATCACCAGGGCTGGGATGTGACACGGCCCCATCTCCGTAGGGATCCACGGCGAGGCTGGAGTGCACAGGATGAAGGTGAGGAAGAAATTCTGCTGCTTCTTCCCCATTCCCAGATCCCCCTATTCCCAGACCTCCCCACTCTGCTCTTCCCCTCCTTCGTGTCCCCTCCAGGTGCTGCCGGCAGATAAGGCTGTGGAGACAATGCTGAAGCACATGACGGATCCATCCAGCTCTTCCCACCTGTCCCTGACCCCTGGTGAGCTCCCCAGGACCCTCTTTGCTCCTCCAAACACCCTGGATCCCAGTCTCATCCTGCCCCCCTTCCTGCAGGATCCTCTGTGGTGCTCGTGGTGAACAACCTGGGTGGATTGTCCTGCCTGGAGCTGGGAATTGTGGCTGGAGCTGCTGTGCGCTGCCTGGGTGAGTGCAGAGGGGAGCTTGGGATCCCATTCCTTGGCTCTGGCCGCTCTGGAATGACCCTGTCTCAATCCTGGATCCCGCAGAGAACCGAGGGATCCGCATCGCCCGGGCCTTGGTGGGATGCTTCATGACGGCGATGGAGATGGCTGGAGTCTCCCTCACCCTCATGCTGGTGGATGAGGAGCTGCTCAGGTTGATCGGTGAGTTCCCAGTGGGAATGTGGCCTGGGATTGGGACACAGGGGTTTCCACATACGAGGTGATGGGCCACAAGGTCAGTGGGATGTCTGGAGGTGGAATTCCTGGCTGCTGGGTGTGCCAGTGAGGATCCAATGAGATCCTGAGCCACCACATGTCTCTGGCTTTTCCAGATACCAAGACCATGGCCATGGCGTGGCCCAACATTCTCGCGGGACCGGCGACCACCCGGAGGGAGGAGGTGCCAGCACCGACAGAGGCACCCAGGAAGCCACAGGATGAGACTGGAATTGGTACAGGGCTCCCGTCCCTTGTCACACCGCTCTGTGCCTCAGTTTCCCTCGGGAATGTGCAGGGATGCATCTCCTCTCCGCAGGGCTCAGCACAGCGCGGGTGGAGCGGGTCCTGAAGCGGGTGTGCAGCACCTTGCTGGATATGAAGGAAAAGCTCAACGAGCTGGATAGGGGAGCAGGTGACGGGGACTGCGGCCACACCCACTCCCAGGCAGCCCAAGGTGGGTGTGGGGGTCGTTATCCAGGGAATTGTGAGGAATGCAACCCCAATGGCACCTCCCAGGAGCGGGGAGTTCCCCAGGACATCCCATCTTGGGACTAAGGAAACCTGGGGTGTCCCTTCTTGTATCCTGGAATGTCTCTGCATCCAGTGGCAGCTTCCCTATGGAATTGAGGGCTGTCCCTGCTTGTCCCCACGAGGGACAGGGGACTGCAGGACCACCGCCCATCCTGTTATCCCTTCCATTCCCACAGCCATCCAGGAATGGATGCGCTCCCGGCCACCTCCGGCTGCTCCAGCCCAGCTGCTCTCCGCCCTGGCTGATGTGGTGCTGGAGCAGATGGGAGGTTCCTCTGGAGTGGTGAGTGGGAATGGGAATGGAAATGGGAACGGGAGAACACACCTAGCCGTGTTTCCAGGATATGATTGATGATATTCCCAAAGCTCTATGGGCTCTTCCTGACGGCGGCTGGCCAGAGCCTGCGTGGCCGCAGCGATTCCTCGGCGTGGGCTGATGCCATGGACTCCGGGATTGAGGCCATGCAGAGGTCAGTGCCGGGGGCTGTGGAATCCCAGTGCCCGCTGGGAATCCCAGTCCCCCCTGAATTTCCCTGCATCCCACACAGGTACGGAGGTGCTGCTCCAGGAGACCGGACAATGGTGAGTGCTGGGAGAGCCCAGGAGGCGTGAAGGCTTCCAAGAGGATGCCAGGGAGTTCCCAGCTGGCCTCAGCCCTGGCTCCCAGATTAATTCCCACTCTTTGCAGCTGGATTCGCTGTTTGCAGCCGCACAGGCTCTGCATTCCCTGCGCAGTCCCGGTGCTGACCCGCTCCAAGTGCTGGCAGCAGCTGTCCAGGTGTGGAGAGCTAGGAGCTGAGATAGTGGGGAAATTGGATGGGAATCCCTGCCATTATCCTGGAAAACACCCTGTTTTCCCTGGCAGAGCGCGGAGGCGGCGGCGGAGGCCACCAGGCACATGGAGGCTGGGGCAGGCAGAGCCAGCTACATCCGCTCATCCCGGCTGGAGCAGCCCGATGCCGGGGCTGTGGCAGTGGCAGCAGTGCTGGGAGCGGTGCTGGAAGGGCTGCGGGACCCCCTGGGCACCTCCCAGTAATGACAGGGATGTGTATCCCTAAAAATCCGTGTCCCCTTATAGTGATAGAAACGGTTATCCCAATAAACCCTTGTGTTCCCCGTGTGAGAGGGAGGTGTATCCCAATAACCCCCTGTGTTCCTTCAAGGATGTTTCTCAATAAAGGTTAGGATGTGGCCCCCAGTAACCCTCTGTGTCCCCCATACTAGCTTGGAGGGGGAGGATGGTGGAATTTGGGGGTGTGGGGGTGCCCCCCTTTGCTCCAGGCTGGGAAGGGAGATGGGAACAGGGATCCTGTGACTGGGGGAGGAAGGAAACCCAGGGTGTGGAGGGGAAACCACAGAGCTCACATGGCTCTGGGCACGGGGTCTGGGGGCGATTCTGGGAAAGGGGCAAAAGAGAAGTGGGGACAGGGCAGAGCATGATCCCAAATCCCGTGGGGTGACCACAGGGAGCTGTCCCATGTCTCCAGGGAGCCAGCAAGGACAAGCCCTTGGAAGGGACAGCTTGGCTTGGCCAGGACCTACTCCAAGCTCCCACCTCTCCCACCCCAGCTCCCAGGCCCTCCCTTGTCCCCAGGGATTTGAGTGCTGGAGCCCTGCAGAAGCCAATATTTTATTCCATGTCCATGAGGTCCCTGAGTGTCTCCACCCTGAGCCGGATCCTCTGGAGTGGGAGTGATCCGGATGATCCTCTTTGTCCCAGCGAGGCTCCGGCAGCTCCAGCTGCGGCGTTGAGGGATGGCACCGGCAAGCGCAGGGTTTGGCATGGCCCGGGATCCAGGCAGGAGCTGGCACGTGGAGGCACAAGGATGCAGCTTGGGAGTGCTGGGAGATCCCTGGGATCAGCGCTCAGCAGAGAGCAGGGGCTGTGGGACACAGGGATGAGCAGGGATCCCTCAGTCCTTCCCCACCTTGGGACTGTGCTGAGGGCAGCTTCCCAGCTCACCTTCCCAAATCCACCCAGCGCATCCCGTACCTGGCGGGAGTCCAGGGAGTCGGAATCCGGGCGCTTCCAGCTGGGCCTGGCCAGGGCAGCCACCACCAGCACTCCAAAAATGAGGATGAGGAGCCCCAGGGTGTTGGCAAACACGGCCTCAGCCGGCAGGAGCTTGTACTCCATGGTCCCGTTCTTCCTGGAGCAGGGAAGAGAGGCTGGGAATGATCAGGATTATCCTGAACACCCCCCCAACCCCAAACCTTGCAGGGAAGTGTGCAGGGAGCCACACACCTGAGGAAGTGCTCAGTTCCCTTTGCTCTTTGGTCACTCCCAAACCCAGCCCAAATCTTGAGCCCCCCTATCCCTGTGAGGGATTTTCCCAAGCCCACCCCCCTGCCCCTGACTCTCACAGGCTGAAGAAAAGCTTCTCGTTGATTCCTGACACGCAGGAAGCCACGGACAGCATGAGGATGGTGGAGCCAAAGAAAACATGGATGGGCTTGTAGAGTGCCCGGAGCCAGGTGGGAGCCCAGGGAAGCAGGAACGCTCCAAAACCCGCCGCCCACTGTGGGAAGAGAAGGTAAGGGTGGAAAACTCGGGATGCCGGAGGGATTGGGGGATGCAGGAGGGATTCCCACCTGGCAGGAGAAGAGCAGGACAGTTGCCAGCCCCATCCAGCTGTGCAGCGAGTACATGTTGGGCGTCCCTTGGGAATTATGGAAGCAGAACACGGCCGCCAGCCCCAGCACGGTCAAAACGAACGCTCCCAAAGCCAAGCTGCCGTGCAGCACCTTCCAGGGAAGCTTGGGGCCGCTCCAAGTGTTGGGAATGCGGTAAACCAGGGCAGCTGTGAGGGGGAAAAAACGTCAGGAAGGAGCCGTGCCGGGATCCCCGCGCTCCCTTTGCTCACCTGCGCCGTAGAGCACCACCAATCCCATCACCATCAGCACCGGGTGCCAGTTGAATGTCCGGGAGCTGCCGTCCAGGGAAAAGCCCCCGCGCCAGTGCTGGCACCAGGTGCCCACCATGGCCACGCAGAGCAATCCCAGCGTTCCCAGGAAGGCACAGAAGGGCAGGAAGGGCACGTCCAGCATGGCCGTGGAGCAGTGGTGGCACCTGTGGGCGAGCGAGGAGCCGGCTCAGGCTCCGGATGCGGTCCCAGGGAGGAGCCACGGAAAGGGGAACTGGGAGCCCCAGAGGGCGTGGGGGGGCAGCTGCTTCCCAGCCTGGGCAAGGTGACAGGGATGGAGCTGCTTCCCAGCCACCGGTGGTGGCTCAGCTGCTTCCCGGCCTGGGAATGGTGGCAGGGATGGATCCAGGATGGTGGCACCTGGGGATGACTGAGGCGCCTTTGGGGGTCTCCGACATTGCCAGGAGGAACCACGGAAAGGGGAACTGGGAACCCTGAGGGGGTGACCAGAGTCCAGCTGTGCCCTGCACTGGGACGGAGGCCAGGGATAGAACAGGACATGCAGAGCAGAATTCCCGGGCACAGCACTCCAGGGAATTGCAGCGAGGGGCTCTCGGTGTCAGCTGTCAGGGTCCCCCTGGCAGGAACCCGATCGCTCTCATTTGCATGTGATTTGCATGTGCCCCCAGAAATGGGTATTTCTGTCCCCTCCGGGGACGGGGGATGTCCCGACACCCTCACATCAGCTGCCTCACGGGACACAGAGACAGGAAACGGGTGGAGACACGCGGCCTTATCGTTCCCCAAAATCCGGGACACAGAGACTCACGGATCTCCCAAAGCTGGGGTACTCGGTGCCATGGCGCCCCGAAATCTGGGAACACGTTTCTCCACAGCCCCCCCAAACCTGAGGCTCCCCTGGACCTGGAACAAAACGCCCGGCCCGGACACCACCCCAAACCCACACCACGAGGTCTCTCGGCCCCTCCCAACCCCGGAGCCGCCCACCGGCTCTCCCAGCCCCGGGGCTGTACCTGGGCCCCACCGCCCCCTCCTCGTCACTGGGCGCCGCCATCTTGGCGAGCGCCGTTCTGCCTGCTCATCTCTATGGTTTTCCCGCCCACTCCAATGTGCTGCCACCGAGGGGAGCTATGGCCAGAGCGGCCCCGCGGGTCCTCCAGCCGCCACTTCCGCCTTCACTTCCGGCTCTGGCGGCCGTTTCCATGGGGACCAAGATGGCGGCGGCGGGTGAGCGCCCGGGGCGGGGGCACGGCGGGGACCCAGCGGGACCCCCGGGACCGGCACCTCCGGCACCCAGGGGGGCTTGGGCGTATCAGGGTGGCGGACCCCGGAGCGGGGAGGCGGCCAGGGACAGGGGGAGAGGGCGGCGAGCGGGGGCCCGGGGGCTCCGCGGTGGTGGCTGTGAGAAGGGGCGGAGTGACGCGGGATCTGGAGGGGCAGAGAGGGATCTCTTCGTCCCCGTGTCCACCTCTTTTCCCTCTCATGTCCATCAGTTTCCCGCTCCCATGTCCAGCCTTTCTTCCCCCGTATTTCCAGCCGCTTTCCGTCCTTTTCCAGCCCCTTTACCCCCGTCTGTCACCGTGTCGCCCCCTCAGGGAATTCAGCCCCAGCACGGCCCTTTTCCTGCCAGGATCCCTGTCCCCTCCGTCCCTCTCCAGCCAGGATGATCCCTGAGGGGGCTGCTCCCGTGAGATACGTGGTGTGTCCCACGAGGGCTGTACCTGCTCCGGTGTCCAAAAATTCCCGTCTGTCTCTCCTCACTCCTCTCTCCCTGTGCCCAGAGTGGGACATGCCCAAACCTGCTCAGAACTGCCCATGGAGCTGGGAACAGCCAGGAATAACCTGCCTGGACACTACTTCTTGGGACTGCACGTCTCACTCATCCCTGGATTTCCTCACATGGAGATTGGGGTGGATTTCAGGGGAAAGGAAGACACTGGAGGAGAGAGAGGACGCGTCTCATTGGGTTTTCCTGGTTTCTGGGATCCATCCCAACCCCTGTGTTCCCCCTCCAGGTTTGGGATGTCGGGAGAGGCCCTGCTGAGCCCCCCCAGCGCCATGATCCGTTGGGAATGCTGGGGCTGAGGGCTCCAAGCCCCAGGAAGGAGGATGCTCCAGCCCAGCAACTACAGCCTGGTGCTGTTCCTGCAGTTCCTGCTGCTTTCCTACGACCTCTTTGTGAATTCCTTCTCGGAGCTGCTGCGCACGGCTCCGGCCGTGCAGCTCGTCCTCTTCATGTGAGTACGGGCGAGGTGGGGCAGCACAGCCAGGAGAGCCTGGAGCCCACGATCCCTCTGTTCTCCCGGCAGCATCCAGGACATCGCCATCGTCTTCAACGTCATCATCATCTTCCTCATGTTCTTCAACACCTACGTTTTCCAGGCGGGCTTGGTCAACCTCCTTTTCCATAAATTCAAGGGAACCATCCTGCTCTCCGCAGCCTACCTGGTGCTCAGCATCTCCTTCCACGTCTGGATTATGGTAGGATGGCGTGGGCACAGCTGCTGGATTCTCCCAAGGGGTTTTTCCGTGACCCCCAGCTTCCCACAGTGCTTTCTCATGGTCTCCCCCTGGAAGGTGTCCCATGGAGGATGTCCCATTCCATCACCCTGTGGGTGGCATCAGCCTGGAAGGGTCCTGCCCAACCCCAGCCCCGTCCCAGCTCGTTCCCTAAGGGCCGTGACCCATCAGAAAATCCTCTTTCCCCAGGGAAAGCCTGTGCTAGCAGCTCCTGGTTTTTCTGGGATTAATCCGTATACCTGGGGGCTGTCCCCTCCCTTCCCAGAGCTCCAAGGGCTGTGCAGGATCCTGGATCTGTCCCGGCAGCACCTTCCCCTTTTCTTTCCTGAATAAACTCCTTCCTAGCTCCTTCCCAATGGAGCAGTTCCCATCCCCTGGACACCTCCTGAAGTTCTCTCCATCCTGCTGCCCCAGAACACAGGGAATGTTTCGGGTGGTCAGGAGCCACAGCAGCTGCTCTGGTGCTGCCCACGCCGTCCAGGAAGGGGATTTGCAGGGATTTGCAGGGATCTGCAGTCTGAAGCCGGAATTGGTCTGGGCTCAATGCCTAAATCCCCTGAGCTGCTTAACCTTTGGGGTAGGGAGCTTCCCAAACTTCTGCAGGTGTAACTCCTGGCTTGATGTCCCTCCATCCTGCTCAGAACCTTTGGAATGGGGTAGGGGGGTCTGGAAGGGCTCAACAAAGCTGCTCCAGGGTTTATTCCCAGTTTTCTAACCCCCTCAGAACCTGCGCTGGCGTGACTCCAGCCGCTTCATCTGGACTGAAGGCCTTCAGACCCTGTTTGTTTTCCAGAGGCTGGGTAAGGACTCCAAGGATCAGGGTGGGATCCCACATCCTTTGGGGGTGCTGGGGGCCCTCTCTCATCCCGAAATTCCCTGCAGCGGCCGTGCTTTACTGCTACTTCTACAAGCGGACAGCTGTGCACCTGGGAGACCCCCTCTTCTACCAGGATTCACTCTGGCTCCGCAAGGAATTTGCCCACTTCCGTGGCTGATGGATCCCCTGGAGTCTCCTTGCACTCCACCGGCTCTGTCGGGGTCGGTTCCAGCTCATCCTTTCTCTGGGGACCAGCCCTTGGGATTTTGGGAGTCAGCGGGAGGCTTGTGGGGTGTCCCTGCGTTTCAGGGCCGCGGCCTCGGTTGGGACTGGAATGTTTTTGGAAACCCTAGAGGAATAAATCCGATGTGTTTTCCAGAGGCTGCCGGGTGTTTGTGCCCACCCGGTGTCACGGCCGCACTCCTTACACTGTAACCCAGCTCGGTGCTGCGCTTGCAGCCGCAAGACGGGGACATTCCCGGTTCCGGTGTGGGATTCTGCTCCCAATGGATTTGAGGGGGCGGGGTTAGGAAGGAGGGGGGACTCGAACCCGCTCGGCAGCGATCGGTCCTCCAGCCATAGAGAGGTGCGGGTAGAGCGGCAGCGCGCGCGCCGCCAAACCACCGAGAGAGGCGGGAGATAGAGCGGCTCCGCCCTCACTCTCCGCGCCCTCGCCCTCGGCGCCCCCGTGCGGGCGAGCGCGGCGGCGGCGGTTCCCATGGAGATGGAAGATGGCGCCCAGGGGTGGGAGCGGGACCGGGGGGGAAACGGGGATTCCCGGAGGGTACGGGCGGTACCGGGACGAACCTGGCCTGGGAGCGGCGCTGGGAACCAGGCAGGGGGACGGCCAAGGCGCTGCAGGGCTCCGGGGGCCGCGCTGCCATGGCCGCCCCGTGCTCCCCCCTCATGGCCGCCCCGTGTCCCCTCAGGCCGCCACCATCGCTCCTCGGCTCCGCTGCAGGTCCTGCTCTTCCTCAACGGCTGGTACTGCGCCACATATTTTCTCCTGGAAGCGTTCGTGTTCGTGTACAAAGGTGAGTCCTTCGGTCCAGAACTCTTCCCGATCCCGCCGGGACGGGCAGGAATGTGGTGCTGAGGGCGGTGCTTTTCCTGCAGTGCTGCTCCTGCCCTATCCCGTCTCCAACTTGGTGCTGGACGTGGTTCTGCTCCTCCTGTACCTCGGCATTGAGGCCACACGCATCTTCTTCGGTGAGTGCCCCTGAATGCCAGAGGCTCCGCAGGGAGTCCTGGTACACCCCGAAGACCATCCCTGGATGTTCAGGTTGGGCAGGGCATGCAGCAACCTGGGCTAGAGGAAGGTGTCCCTGCCCACGGGAACCGGGCATTTAATTCCCCATCCAAAACCCTCCCATGATTTCCATGATCTGATCCCAGCTCTGTGTCCCACAGGCTCCAAGGGGAACCTGTGCCAGCGGAAGGTGCCGCTGTCCCTCAGCCTGGCACTTACAGTGCCGGCAGCTGTGCTGGCCGTGTACTACCTGCTGCTCCAGACATATTCCCTGCGCCTGGAAGCGTTCCTGAGCGCCATCCTGCTCCTCTTCTACGGCCTGGAGCTGCTTCTGGGCTTCCTGGCGCTGCTCTCCTTCTCCAGGTGCTGCATCCCAGGAACTCAGGGAGCTGGCGCGGGAGCTGCCAGGTTGGTTTGGCACCCACACATCCCTGTCTCTGTCCTTTTCCACAGTGCGGATCCCTACTGAGGACACGGCCCAGGGACACAGGGAAGCATCACCCGTGCCAGCTCCACTCCCCAGCCCCGGGAAGGGGGAGGATCTCACCTTTTCCACTGCCCATTTCACCTGGTGCCACCTGGACACATCCCTCCCACCTTTGTTGCTTCTATGTGGACACATCCCTCTGAATTTTCCTGCTTCCCACTTCACCAGGGACCTGCTGCCACACGGATTCATCCCTCCCTTTTCCCAGTTCACTCACTGCCCCCTGGCATATCCCTCCCACCTTTCCCACTCTCCAATCCACTCGGACTCCTCAGAGCTTGAGCCAGCTCAAGGTATGAAGAATCCTCTTTTTAGTTTCTATGATCTTCCAGAATAATTCACTATTTTCCAATAAATATTTATTTTTACTTGGTGCCCAGGAATGTGGGTCCCCCTGGGAATGCTCAGGTGCTTCCAGCACCTCAGAGCCAGTTTGGGAAGCACAGGAGCCCATTGGAGGAGGAAGAGGGTGAGGGACAAAGGGGGAACAGACCTCCCCAAATCCCTCCCATTCCCTCATTATCCCAAATCCCACCGTAGGAAGGCAACAGGAGCGCTGTGTAAAAGACTGACAACGTCATCTGAGTTTATTACACAATTCCAACCTATCCAAAGACAAATCTAATCACTGCGAGCAGGAGGGGCGGCGCCTCGCCGGGGCTTCCAGGGATTTGCTCTGCAATTTATGGGGGAATCTTTTTCCCCCTCCACTATTTGGAAAGAAACTAAAAATCTGTGGCGGTAAGTAAAAAAAAAACCCGGAGCTCTCCCGCCGAGTGCTCCCACCTCGTGGGGCTTGGGAAAATCGGGGTGGTTTTTCCTGAATTTGGGTTATTTCAACTTAAAAAGACTTCCAGGGCCTGGGTTTTCCCACCTGAGTGTGATTCCAGCCCTGAAAGTCACCCCGTGTGTCCCGGCTCATACTGACCCTCCTGGGCTCTCCCTCCCTCTCCTTCTTGGGATTCTGAGGGGACACAAGGGGGTCACAGCCTGCCCTGCCTCTTCCGCTTCCTCTAAAACAAGGAAGGCTCTGCGGGAGAGGCCGGAGCTGCCGTTTGGGTGGGAATGCTGCTGTGGGGAATGTCAGGATAGAGAGGATGACCCCCAACCCAGCTCCAGCCCCTTTTTCCCAGCTCCTGGAGGGTGAAGGGGCAAAGGAGGAGTGTGGCACAGTGTCCCACCAGGGCGATGGGGACGCGAGTGTCCCCAGGCAATCCAGAGGATGGCACACGGCTCCTGATCCCAGGATCGGGAGCTGTGCATCTCCAAGTCCCCAAGCTGCACAGGGAGGGCTCCGTCTCCTCCGGTTCCCCCCCAAACTGGGAAGGGCTCACAAACCTCCCTCCATGGAATAAAAGCACCATTTCTCTTTGGGTCCGAATATCCACGGAGCGGAGCGGGATGGCCCCAGGAAGCAGCAGCAGTGGTGGGGGGGATTCCCAAGGCCACGAGGTGCGGGCGGGGGTCCCGCCCAGAGGGGCTGTGGTGGCGAGGAAGGGACCGGGATGGGGCGGAGCAGCCTCGGGCACGGCATCCTGGTCGAGGTGAGGAGATAGAGTCCATTAAAAACCACTTCCTGCCAAATTCCTGTCGGGAGAGAGGAGAGGAATGGTGGGAGTGCCCTTCCCTCATTCCTCACGCTTCCAGGGGATTCCTGAGCCTCCCACCTGTCTCAGTGGTGCCGGTCCCTGTCTCTGTCCCTGTCCCGATGCCGCTCGTGCTCCCGGCTCCGCTCCGGGAAATAATCCTCGTGCCGATCGTCGCTGTGGAGCAGATCCCGGTGCCGCCGGCTGCTCTCGCGGGACCGGCTGGGAGAGCGCTCCCGGGATCGGTGTCTTTTCCTTTGGAAGAAGAGGAGACAAAACCCAAAGGGTGATTTTTCAGTCGCTCACCTGCAGAGCGGATCCCCTTCTCTGTATCCAGGGGGATACCTGGAGCTGCTGCTGGAGCTGCTGCTGTAGGATTTGGCCTCAATTCCATGCAGGCAATCCTTGAGGGAAGAGAGGAGGACGCGGCACCGCTCGTCGCTGGCCACGCGCGACTGCTTGATGACAGCGATGGCTGTGAGCAGCGTCTCGATGGCGTTGCTGTAATCGCCTGGGGGAGCGGAGCAGGGGGTCAGGAGTGGGAATCCATCCCGGGATGGGGGACATGAGGGACACAAGAAGTACCTGCGCTGGCGCCGGACACCGCCTTGGAAATGGCGCTGCTGGAGATGGCGCGGTTGCGGTTCATGATCTCCTCAAACTCGCCTTCGCTCACGGCCGGGATCGGCGGGCCCAGCTCCCGGCTGTTGGTACAGCGGGAACAGGGGTTCAGCGGGATCCTCCCCGAGCATCCCAACCCCATTCCCGCCCGGCTCACCTGCTGTGGTTGTATGGAGCCATGGCCTTGCCGTAGGTATCCGGAGGGGGTCCCAGGGCGGCGGTGGGCGGCGGGAAGAAGGCGGGATTGAGGTGCAGGGCGGGGGGCACAGCCCCTGGGGGGGGCACGGCCAGGGGCGGGGGCAGCCGGGGCGGCGGTGGCAGCAGGTGCTGGTAGGGAATTCCAGGAGGAGGCGGAGGGACTCCAAAAGCGGAGGAGAGGGGAGGCGGAGGGGGCATGGGAGGCGGGGGTAGCCCCATGAGGGGCAGCGCAGGGGGGCGGCTGAAGAAGGGCAGGACCGAGGGGGGCTTCTCCATGCGGGCGGGGGGCAGCGCGTTCTCTGTCGGCGTCGCCCGGCCGTCCACTGCATCCATGGAATCCCGGGAGTGAGCCCGCGGCGGCACACCTGGAAGTGGCACGGGAAAAGAGCTGTGAGGTGCAGCTGGAGGGTGTCTGGGTCTCCAAGACCTCCTGCTCCTCCTCTTCCTCCCACCCCTGGAGGGCTGGAGGTGCCCAGAGAGATCCAGCCAGCCACACATAGCCTCTGCTTCCATGTGTTTTTCCAAGAGGGGCCCAGCTTTCCAGCAAGACCCCGCACAGTGCCCTGGGGACAGGCAGGTCAGAGGGACAGGAGCCAAAAGCCACAATGAATGGTGAGAGATCCCCAAAGACATCCAAAGACCCGGAGAGCCTGAGATTCACACATGGTTTTGGAGAGGCCCAAGCGTGGAGGAACACGTGGGGACAGAACCCAAGTGCTGACAGCAATGGAGCTGCTGCTAGAGGAAGGAAAACTCAGCATTCCAAGAGGGTCAAGAAGCCTTGCTCTATCCAAAGAGGCACTGAGGATGAGACAGAAGGGGTGTGACAGGAGCCACGGCTCCCAGGGTGCCAAAAAGGGTGCATGGGAGTTCCGCTGTGCCCTGCGGGCAGCCGGAACTCAGCCCAGGGAACACTCCCTGCTCCACCAAAACTGCAGGGCAAGTTGGGACACAGCCTAAGCACCAAGCAGCCGATCCCCTCGGGCACCTGAGCCAAAGGAAGGGAGCGAAGCAACTCTGCTGGGAAGGGGGACTTTTCCTTGCACAAAACATGCCAAGGGATCTACAACGACCAGAGCTGGCCAAGACCTCCTCGGACACGCTCCTGCCGGGACAATCCCTGCGGATCCCGTCGCATCGCTGCGGAGTGAGGCCAGGACCACCTATTGCCATTGAGGGATGCCCACGGCCAGGCCCCAGCTGGAATATTCCTCCAGTGTTGGGCACCTTACCTCCGCAGGGATGGAAAAATTCTGGAGCAGATCCAGAGAGGAGCTACTAATAGATATGGAGGGTCTTAGCTATGCTGAGAGCCTGAAGAGCTTAAGCCCATTCAGTTTGGAGAGGAGGAGGAGGAGGCTACGAGGGATCTTCGCAGTGTGGGAGCACCTAAAAGGGGATCATAAAGACTCGGGTCAGGAGCTAATCCGGCTCAGGAATGGGAAAAACAACCCCCAGACGCTCCTGGCAGGGTTTCCCCCCATCCCGAGGGCTCGCTGGGCTGGGCCTGGCAGCTGATCTGGGGGGGATTTGGGATGTGTGTGAGATGGAACCCCCCGCCCGCCTCACACCGGCGCCGCACTCACGTTTGCGAGCCTGAGCCTCGAACTGCGACAGGTTCTGCCGGGTCGCCAGCCTCACCTCCACCTTGTCTCCATTCAGGATCTTTCCGGGAAGCAGCTCCAGGAGTTTATGGACTGAGTTCTCGGAGGCGACCACCACCTCCGCGTACCTGCGCAGGAGAGAGGGAGGTTGAGCCCTGAACCCACTGCAGAGACCTCCCCCAGACCTTCCTCCTGATCCCATCCCACTGTTCCACAACCCCTCCCCGCTTTTCCATGCTCTTTGGGATGCTCCACGAATTCCCTGTCCCAGGCAGGGAAAGCTGCTCCCTCACCCTCCACAAAACAATGGATGTGGCAATGAGGGCCTGGCTCCCATCATTCCCACCCGAAATTCCATTGGCTCTCACCCCTTGGATTGGCCATTAGCTCGGTTCTCCGCGAATTTCAGCTCCACCACGTCGTAGACTCCAATGGAGCGGATGGCCTGGATCAGCTGCTGGTCAGTCGTCCACTGAGGGATAGGGAACAGGCTGGTATCCACGTCTGTCCCCTATGTACCCCCACCCACCTGAGGAATGTCACCCCCAGACTTCCTCAGGGAGCTTAAAGTCATCCAGAACAAGCCTTGGGAATGGGTAACAGTGACAAGTTCTCTGGACAAGCCCTCCCAAAACTGTTCCTGCATCCCTGAACAGAAGGCAACTCAGGAGCACCACCTCAAAGCCCAGAAGCTCCTCAGGGATACAAATCCCTTTTCCCTGAGGATCACAAAGCCAATCCCAGTTCACAATAAAGCTCAGGACACCAGCTCAGGATTGAGGAGGAGCAGGCCCCTCAAAATCCCTGCCACTCCCCTAGAGAGCCCAGCAGCCCCTCAGAGGTTCCCCAGGAATCCTGAATTTCCCAGGAAGATGAACTCACCCAGGAGAAGCTCCCGACGTAGACGGCGGCCCTCTTGTTCCGGAGCCCGCTGTAGGTGTACAGGATGGCTGGGGGTTTGCTGTTGGGCTTGGGAGACGGCTCCTGACGGATCTCCGGAGGCGCTTCCGAGCTGCTGGAACGCTTTTCCTGGGGCTGGGAGCTGGCTGCTAACACGTCGTCGTAGAGATCCATCTGGTCAGCATTACTGAACTCCGGGTCCTGCTGGGAAAACGTCATGAGATCCTGGCTTGGGAAGCCTTCTTTGCTGTTTCCAAACCTGCTGTCCCAATTCCCAAGTGGAATTTCCAAGCCGAGTCCAAAGGTTTAAGGCCCAAATCACTTGGTTTGGGTCTATGCACAGTTGGGAATTACAGCCACCCCTTGCCTGGGCAATCCCAAAATCCAGGATGATGGGCTCTGATTTCATGGAATCATGGAATGGTTGGGGTTGGAATAAGGACCTTAAGGATCATCCCATCCCATCCCCTGCCATGGCACGCCTTCCACTATCCCAGGTTGCTCCAAGTCCTGTCCAACCTGGCCTGGAACACTTCCAGGGACGGAGCAGCCACAGTTTCCCTGGAAATCTATTCCAGGGCCTCACCATCCTCACAGGGAAGAAATTCTTCCCAATATCTCATCTAAACCCCCAGTGAGCTCCAGCACATTCCAAGGACCAGCCCACCTGGATCCCACACAACAGGACAAGACCCTGTTGCTGCCACCAGGAAGAAATTCCCAATTTGCAGGGCAAGAATTCAGTGGTGGAAAACCAAATGCCCTCCAAGGATGAGCCTATCACTCCTTGGCAACACATGCGTCCCAAAAATCCAACTTGGGAATTGCACGCCCCCCTCAAACCATGCTCATCACCCCAAACTTCCTCATTTTTGGGAAAACAGCCCTTTTTAGGGTAGGAGCTCCTACACATTGGATCTGTCCCTTTGGCAGAGGAAGCTCAGGAAACTTCAGAGCTGGAAATTCCAGTGTGTCCTAGATCTGCCTCCCAATTCCCACTCTGTCCCAGGTGATATTTCATTTGGAATGTCCAGCAAGTGCTGTGTTTACTATGGATCCCAGTTCCTTGTTCAGATTGTGCCGAGTGCTTCATCCCACAAAATCACTCCATGAGGATCCATCCCACAGGAGCTGGTGTGCCACAAAAACCAGAGGTTCTGCTCCCAAATTGTCAATTCCAGGCAGTTTGGACAATGTTTTCTGCTGGAGACAGTCTGAGGGTCAGGGAATTGCAAACATCCTCTTGGGAGCTGGACAGAGAAGGATGCTCAGCACACAGCTTTCCAAGGATTGTGGAAACCTGGGAATCAAAAAATCCAACCATTTTCCCCTTCCCTGAGCTTTTGCATCCAGCTCTTTCCCTGGAGCTGATAAAAGAATGATTTGAAAAGGGAGCTGTAGTTTTGTGTTCATTTCCCAAAAAAGCTCAAGTGTTTGGTTAATCCAACTCCCACGCTCCCACCTCCACCAGGAGCCTTTGGACACAGCCCAAGGCTGGAAGATTCCCGCCTGGAAGTTTCAGAAAGTCAAGACCAAAAATAGGAAGGAGGGGCTAGAGGAGGAATCCCTAGGAATCCCTCAGTTCTGCTACTTAGGGGATTCAGCTTGGGAAATTTTAGGGATTCTCCTGCACCCCATCCATGCACGCTGAGTTGAGGTGCACAGGGATGAAGCTGGGCATTGTTAGTGGGAATCACCACGTGGAAAAGTGGGATTTGGAATTACACTGGCATCCCTGGAGTGCCACAGGGACACCACAGCACCCCCCCCCCACACTGCTTTGATCCTGGCATGGATGAATTCCAGGTGTTCTCCTGCCACACATCCCAGGGGGAGGAACATGCCAGAGTCATTGGCCTGGATCACCATTCCAGCTTTGAGAATCCTCCATCCACTTGGTCTTCCCAGGAGAGTCCATGGGATATTCCCACCCAATAACCAGAAGAAGCTTCTCTTGATCACTGCAGGAGTTCACAAGAATTCCTTTCTCCATGGTGATTCCTTCCTCCGGGTGCTTTGCTTCCAGTTTCCATGACTTTTCCTCTTGCCAACTTCTCTCCACAAGCTTTCCATGGCAGTTTAGAATTTTCCAACATCTGCCTTCGCACTTGCTTTCCCATATCCATGAACTCCCTAAAATCTGCTTCTCCAAAACCCCCTTCCTTCATCATTTCCTCCTGTGAATCCCAGATATTCCTGGGATGGGACAAGCAGCACAGGAACAGCGAGCTCCTGCACAGATTCCCAGCCTGGGTGATCCCATGGATTTGGCTCCTGGTATCCCCTCAATGTGTAATTCCCTGGAAGTGCCTCTTCCAGCTGGGATTTCTCATTTTTCCAAGCAGGACACAGCTAAGCTCTTAAATCCCAAACATTCCGTGACCAGCCACGTGTCACAACCCACAGGGAAACCCTTTAATCACAGCTGGAGGTGGCAGCCACTGAGATCTGGGAATGATCGGGAATGATGCTTCCCTTTTCCCAGCCACACCAGTTGCATCTTCCACCGGGATGAGCTGCAGGACACTGGGATCTCTTCCCCAAAGGAAAGGGGGGGATCTGCACCCCCATCCCGGCCCTCACCTGGGTGAATTCCTCGTCGGCGTAGATGTCAATCAGATCCACTCCCTCGGACATATTTCCAGAGGCGGGAAAAGCGGGAGCCCGGGCTGGGACCGGGCGGAGCCAGGACACGGAAGGTGCTCTGGGAATGGGGGGGCAGGGGGTCAGTGAGGCCCTGGGGACCCGCGGGGGGCGTCCCCCCAAATCCCTGTGTGCCCCGAATCCCACTTCCTCACCCCAGTCCCTGTGCCCCTCTAAATGCCCTCTTCCCTCCAAATACCTGTGCCCCCTAAATCCCCTCTCCCCACTAAATCCCCTCTGCCTCTCAAATCCCCTCTCCCCTCTAAATCCCTCTGTCCCCCCAAATCCCATGTCCCCCCTAAATCCCGGTGTCCCCCTGAATCCCCTCTGCTCCCCAAACCCCTGTGCCCCCCCAAATCCCATTTCCCTCCAAATCCCGTG